GTCCCAGTGTACCGGGTGCTGCCCATACACATCACAGGAGACAGGCCTTGCACCCAAGAGGTTTCACTCTAAACAGACAAGCCAGACAAAGGGAGTCACTTGCGTCACTTCCCCTTCGTTCTGTTCAAGGCTGTGACGCTGATCTACAAATTCTCACCATCCCACTCTGGTGGCCTAACCTGCAACGATGCTGCTCCCAGATCACAAGTTGATTTGAGTATCAGAGGGGTAGCCGTGTTAGTCTGTATCTGCAAAAACAACAAGGAGTCTGGTGGCACCTTAAAGACTAACAGATTTATTTGGGCATAAGCTTTCGTGAGTAAAAACCTCACTTCTTCGGATGCATCTGAAGAAGTGAGGTTCTGACCCACGAAAGCTTATGCTCTAATAAATTTGTTAGTCTCTAAGGTGCCACAAGTACTCCTGTTCTTTTTGTGGATACAGACTAACAGGGCTGCTACTCTGAAATTTAACACCATTAATCTGGGCTTGAATAGGGACTTCATTACAGAAGCAGCTTTGCCTCTCCTGGAATTGACACCTCCTCATCTATTATTGGGAGTGGACCACATCCACCCTGATTGAATCGGCCCTGTCAACACTGGTTCTCCACTTGCGAAGTAACTCGCTACTCTCCATGTGTCAGTATATAATGCCTGCATCTGTAACTTTCACTCTATGCATCCGAAGAAGTGAGGTTTTTACCCACAAAAGCTTATGCCCAAATAAATCTGTTAGTCTTTAAGGTGCCACCAGACTCCTTGTTGTTTTTGTAGATACAGACTAACACGGCTACCCCCTGATACTTGAAACTGAGCCCTGTTTCTGCTTGCCAGTTATCCATGAGTAAAATGTGTTCCTTCTCACAACCTGTTCAGCCACGGCATGCAAACACTGTCTGGGGAGCCTTCTGCTGAGAAGCTCCCAAAGAAAAGCAACAAATAGGAACCCAGTTAGTTTACCCAAGAATGAGCTGACCCAGTGCTAAGCAGGAGAGTTCCTATTTGCACGGAATGTCACATAGTATTGTATCAGAGGGGTAGCCGTGTTAGTCTGAATCTGTAAAAAGCAACAGAGGGTCCTGTGGCACCTTTGAGACTAACAGAAGTACTGGGAGCATAAGCTTTCGTGGGTCAGAACCTCACTTCTTCAGATGCATCCGAAGAAGTGAGGTTTTTACTCACGAAAGCTTATGCCCAAATAAATCTGTTAGTCTTTAAGGTGCCACCAGACTCCTTGTTGTTTTTGTAGATACAGACTAACACGGCTACCCCCGATACTTAAAACACTGCATCAGTGAAAACGCTACTATGCAGATGGGAGAGCTTCTCCTGTCAGCGTAGCTAGTCCACCTCCGTGACATGGGTCTATCTACACTGGGGGTTAGGTCGGTACAACTGCGTTGTTCAGGGATGTGGATTTTTCACACCCCTGAGCAAAGTAGTTATACCGATGTACGTTTATAGGGTAGGCATGGCGGGAGGGATTGCAGTGATGGGTTGCCAATGACATGTTAATGCCATCAATTTTGATTTTTTTGGGGTAGGCAGTTTTTTGGAGGGGATTACCTAATAGAGAGAGAAAGGAAGGGAGAGGGACGCAGAGGGGAATAGGGCCGGGTGGAAGAGGGAAGGGAGAAAGAATGTGGGGAAAAACCGCCAAGAATGTGGAGCAAGCAGCCAAAGGGAGAGAAGGGCAACAAAAATGATTAGGGGGCTGGAGCACATGACTTATGAGGAGAGGCTGAGGGAACTGGGATTCTTTAGTCTGCA